CTGAAAATTCGTGATTTGTCGAAGGAAATTTGGCAACGTCTAATGGATCATACGGCGTCCTTACGTAGCACAGCAGAGCGAGATGGTGAAGGTGCATCAAAACAGGAAGTAAGCAAACATCGGGCTATTGAACAGATTTTGACGGTTTATGATGTAAATAATGACTGTTGTAACACCCCTGCGTTACACACTTCAATGTGAATTGGTATATCGAACAATCGTTGACAATTGATTTCTTGCATATCGACGGTGAAACTACCAAACCACGTATCTCGGTTTGCGACGTCGCAGACTTCCTGCCATACTTTAATTTTTAAATGGGAAAGTACTCAACGTCAATTCTTGAAAACTTCCGTGATTTTTCTTCTCAGTGCGAAGAAAATTCTGTAAAAACTTCAAGGAATGATATTGAATTGTTCTTCACCAGAAAAATAAAATGAGAGCGGAGATTTTTAGACACCGCAAACGAGATATGCGGTTTGGTAGTTTCACCATCGATATGTTAGGGATTTGTGATTTTAGCTGGGGAGTTTGTTGTATATCTTTGAGTAATTGAATTTGGGTCCTTTGGCAATCATTCCTTTTGGTATAATTTGCTTTGTATTATACACTGGAAAAAAAACACATTGGATCTAGAGTCCAGACTCTTAAAAACATCGACAAGAAAAAGTACTCTTGATTCAATCAGAATCTAGCTTAAATCAAGAGCCAAGCCCCTTAATCCAAGCGGATTTCGTTTTGATTCAAGCAAAAATCCGATTGAATCAAGAGTATTTTTTCTTGTCAATGTTTTTAAGAGTCTAGACTTTAGATCCAATGTGTTTTTTTTTCCAGTTTGCAGAAAATTTACTGAAAAGCGGATGTGGCTTGGTTCCTTTCTGCTTAAATCAGTCCATTTGTCAACGATCGAATGTTCTTACGACGTTCTACCACCGCACGGCAGAATGGTCGATACCAAACTCCCGATGCAGACAAATCTGTTTTTCTGCATGGCCCCCATTGAAAAGGAGCTAAAGCTTACGAGCTCTCTAAACGCATGAGTGCGTGAATGAGATCGAGTCTTTTAATCGAGGTAAGTTATTAATTCCGCGGAAATGTCAGACAAAGGTCAATTCCGTGGAAGGGGGTGGAGCCATGGCCTTGGAGAGCGACCAACCCGGCACTGGATGGATTGCTCTATTAACCCCCGATACACGGTTGCGCCATGTTAATACGTCAACTTCACTCCTTCGCCTCGCAGAACTCCAGTTGATCCTCCGTTGAATCTGCTGGATTGGAAACGGAGTCATTCTTTTTTGTCTGAAACGCCCGTTTCGAGTATTTATGTTGAACACAGCACAAGCTGAATTTCCCTTTTATCCGCTAAAAATACTGGCTGTTTGGGCACTTTTCTTCAGACGTAGAGGAACTGAACACATAATAGGTTTAAAGTCAGAAGGAAGGATGTGCCTCATTAAGCGGGGTTTTTTGGCCCAAAAGGTTTGAGGGTGTAAGCATGCTAGCCTCTTAGTTTAGGCCCTAAGACATTGAGAAACACTCATTTTAGCTGAACCTGTTGTATCTCTAAGGAATTGCGAGCAGTTGAAGTTCACTGATTATGCCGATTACCTACATGGTGATTATACCATTCACTGGGCGCTGATTAGCTTGACCACTATGTGCCCATCAAACGGACTATGCACTACATTAGTGACCTAAATATTGTTAATTATTTCAAAAACTATTCTCAGACTTATAGGGTTACTTTTGCAATTACTGAAATTGAAAACATTGGTACGAAATTCGAATAAGTTTCATACATTGATTTATTTTCCAGGATTGTGAAAAGTGACATAAGTTCACTTTTATGTGCCAGCACAAGGGTTTACCACTTTCATATTCGAATATGTTAATTTTAGTACACTCATTACAACATATTTAAAGGAGAAAGTGGTAGTCGCTTGTGCTCATACATTAACAATATAATTTAGGACCGAAAATGAGCAATTATTCGAGAAAACTACAAAAATTCACTACTTTGCGCTAGTAAATCAGACAAAAACCTTTCAAAAGCACCTCAAATAAGGACAAGTTTTCACAGAGTAGATGATTAAGAGTTGATTTGACCATACATGACATTATTCCAAGCTGTTTCAATTATCGACCAAAGTTAGGGTCAAAATACTCTCCTTAATGGGACACGACATATCCTTTGGAATTGCTCCGCAATACAGCTCTAACTCATAGCAAGGCGATTCGTCAAGGTTTCTGGTGTAGTCGAACTAACATGCGATATATCGCATGGATTATGTCAAACATCTCGGCAGATTTTGAATTTTTAGTGTAAACTCTTTTCTCCCAAAAAGAGACGGGCACCGGGGCACCCAGTGATATTACAGCAAATTTCTCTGTGGATTGTGGTGTCTGCGCGCAGATTTTGGAGACCACCTTGGTTGACACACAACCTAAAAAAAATAAGAAGAAAAAAAGGAAAAAAGCGCAAACTCTTGGATGCAACTATTCGTGCTCTCTGAATATGCGTGTTGCTGGAACAAAAATTGAAGGCGCACTTTGCTCGTAACAGACGTACTTCAGTATCCACTCCTAGCCACTTACAAATAATAATCTTTTTTTTTTTTTTTTTGGTCAACTCTACAAAGGGCGGTTGAGACAAACATTTTGAAGTCGTCGCACATTTTATCAACAACCATGGGTATTATTTCAACAGCCTAGCTTTTTCCTGTGTGATATTCATAATCGATCAAGGAAAATTCAACACAGTGAGAAAATTACGTCATCGTAAGGAACGCTAAAATGAATCATGGGGTCGTTCAAGTATTATAATCAAAACCATTTCCACTTTTTCGAAAGCACTAATTCGTGTATGATCCAACCTCCAAACCAAAATTACAACACTAAACTCCTCGAGGGCATCGAAGGTCGTTGCGAGAGAGGGGAACAGCGACAGAACATGGACATCCATTATTTGTCTCAACAGGAGAAATAAATCTGGTTTACGGTGCCCGAAAGCCCCGAACAAGTCCACGACGATGGGCCTTAATCGAAGTCCAAACGGTAAATATTTGACGGAGATATTACCCGAGCTGTATAAACAACGGTGCAAATTGATAGCCGGGAGGTATAAAGTTTCTTTTAATAGGATTTCATGATTAACGGACGCTGAGGAGGGATCAAGAGTGGAGGAAGACAAAAATTAGGGAAGCTTTGAGAGGGGCATTCATTGGGTGTGTGCTCTTCGTATGGAGCAACAATATGTAACTTTCCTTCATAAAAACTTTCCCAATTTTCTAATGGCGATAATTCAGAAACGATTGCTTTCTTCGCGGGGTTGCGACCTCGGGTGGGAGGGGCTCGACTAAAAATGAATACCTGCGAAAATGAAACTCTTGCATGCTTTGCAGCCGTGCTACGGAAGAATGCCGCATGGACGTTCATGCGTTGCCAAATTTATTTTGGTTTTTTTTAGGTTATGCGTCAACCTAGAAGGTTTCCACTAGAGTCCCTTTATACTCTGCCGTGCTAAGGAAAAACGCCGTATGAGCATTCAGGCGTTGCCAAATATCCTTTCGCAAATCACTAATTTCTAGGAAAACTTTTGAACATTTTTTTGCCAATTTCTCAGATGATTTAGTTCGCAATTTTACCTAAAGATTCCGAAAATGTAAAGAAAAATATTGATAACTTTCCTAAAATATAAACATTTTATCGAGGAAAATTTGGCAACTCTCGAATGTTCATACGGCGTTCTTCTTTAGCACGGCAGTGCTGAGAGTTAAGACAACACCCCCTCATGGAGTCAAAAACGAGAATAAAGATTACAAAAATTGAACGTTTTTCGTAATCTTTGATCGGCTCATTCTCAAATTCTTTTTTCTGTTCCTTCTCTGATTCCGTTTGTTACTTGTCGAACCCGTAATTCCTCGGTCCATTCCAGATTATAATCTCTGCAATTGGTGAAAATGTAATCTTTATTCCCGTTTGTGACACTGTGGAGGCCTAAAAAACGGTAACCAATCAGAAATGGATTCGAATTGTCTTAACTCTCAGTATAAAAGGACTCTAGTTTCCACAATCTGCGCGCAGACACCACAATCCTCAGAGAGATAGATTTGCTGTAATATCACTGGGAGCCCGTCTCTTTTTGGAATAGTTTTAGTTAGCTCAAGTGGCGCCCCGTACTTTTTTCGACTCTGCCCTAAATTGGTAAAATAGAAATTTTCAGGAAAACTTGTAAAAAATGTCCGTCCAATATTCCAGGGAATTTTCCTCGCAATGTAATCTTAAGTATCAGAAAATTTCTAGAAGAAAAATTCATCATTTGGCTCAAAAATTAATATGTTAAGAGGGAAAATTTGGCAAGTCTCGGATGTTCGTACGGCGTTTTTCCCCAGAATGGCAGTGTGGGAACTTGTACTATGAGAACTTTTCGCGTAAAATTTTGCAGGAAAAACGATGGTTCCATTGGTTGTTTCAACTTTCGAGAATTTTCGAGCTGAACATAGCAAAGTTGAGGCCGTAATTGAATAGAACCCCTGAGTTATGATAGAGTCCACCTCTTTACTCCAGTGAAACTTTCCATGCACAGCACAGGTAGGGAGTGCATACCTTCAGTTTTTCTGTGCAGGGATTCTAAGGGTCAGAACGGTAATTTTTTGGCCTGCAGTCGTGGCAATCCTGGTAATGTATTTGCTAACCATACGTTGAATTACTTGTTTATCTATGACTGAAAAACTGTCGGTGGTAATATTTACAATTATCTACAAACATATTTAAAAAGAAAATCCCCAAAAACCCACATTTAATGTGAGATTAAGAGTTTTTAATGAAAATTTGTTAGATTCATGTCTTATGGATCACGCTGAAATTGTTTCATACTTTAGTGAAATTACTATTTTTTCATGTTTTCACCCAATAAAAACCAAGAACTTTAATTTTGTCCCACGCCACTGTGATATTTCTTTAAAAAAATAACCATCAACTTCACGAAAAAAAGGAAACAATTTTTCATTTTTGATCAGCTGTTTATTATTTTCGAATAGGTCGGCTTTTGATTCTTCTGATGGCTAAAGCTAGAAGTTTACAAATGACATAAATTACAAGTACTATGATAAATAGCCAAAATACAATAACATCCAGCAGTAAGTATCTGTAGAGTGGCATGCCCACAGAGGCTGGCTTTAAGTGATGAGCCCCATTATGTCGTATGACGTACTCAACCCAAAAAATTGCTCTTTCTAAACTGGTTTGGGGCAGATCTCGATAAGTTACGGCCACCTTCTTCGCATTCTCCTTGAATCTGTGGAAAAGACGCATTATTAAAATTAGTGCAAAATCCATCCAAAAGCAGGTTATCTTGCATTTTTTGGGAAAAATTACCAAGTCAAGTAGCTAACCAACAATGCATCGCATTGCATTTAATTTATTCAGGAGTGCATATGGAATGGACAGTGTGTCCCTCAAATTACAGTGTACACTCCAGCAGGCGCAGTATAGGCAATTGGCTTATCGTAAAGCACAGTGAAAAAGGTGTAGCGTTTGTAGTATCTATGCGATGTGGAAGGCGCTATTAATGTGGTGCGCGCGGGCGCGCCTTTTATTGCACTCAATGATTTGAATTTGTCGCATCAGAGAAAAATATTTTTTTGAAGTGCATTCCTTTTGCTAAAAACTCTACAAGTGTTTTGATTTTAATAAAATTTATAAATCCATGCAGCTGCGGTAATATTTTGTTGATACCAGGTACATTGACTGCGCTTATAATTCCGGTTCAAGTGACTTCGTCCGCGCTGATTTACACTTAGGTTGTTTTAGAAAATTGAAACGTTCTGCAAAACCTGAGTTTGGTATCAAATTCACTGTTTTTTCTTCAGTGACTAATTTCCTGAAGTATTTGTAGATTTTTATTAGGCTACGTTAGGCTACGACTTATTGTGCTTGATGCTTAAACTTGTCGGCAGAAAATACGTAGCCTCAAACTCTTGCGTTTTTATGAAAAGAAAAAAAATTATTCGCAGCTCATTCTTCAGCAGGCAATGAGTCAAGAGGATAAAGATGTTCAACATTTAATAGTTTCAGTATTTGTTGCATGTTCCTTTACTTTTTTTTATAAATCACCTTTAGCGCTCCTAAAAAGAGATACCTAGCCACCTACATTTAAAAAAAAGATAAATACTCTTGCATCACTATTAAATATAGGCTGATGAGTGCTAAAACATATTGAGAATTAGGAACATCAATTGATAAAGTTCCGAGATTCGTAAAACCCCAACCACTCAAGCCATCACCAAGCGGTAGAGTTCCGACAAAAACTCTTTAGAATAAATGAATCAATAATTTTGAAGATCATGGAAGTCAGTTTTGCCAAAAATTCTTTTTCACTTTTGACCTCTCTGAATGTCTTATTTACCAGAGAACTATGCTGCCGTGCTAAAGAAAAACACCGTATGAACATTCGAGCGTTGCCAAATTTTCTTCAATAAAATGTTTATTTTTGAGGAGATTTATGATTATTTTTCCTTAAACATTTCAGGAACTTTAGGTGAAATTTTGAACAAAATTATCTGAAAAATTGGAGCGAAAATATTCATAAGTTTTCCAGAAAATTCGTGTTTTATCAAAGGAAATTTGGCAACGCCTGAAGGTTCATACGGCGTTCTTCCTTAGCACGGCAGTGTGGTAGTCAGCTTCTTGAAACGCAAATGAGAGACGGAGAGGAACGCGGACGTCAAGTAAAAAGAGATAGAGTCAAACGTGGGAAAAAAAGCTGAAAATTTGGATTTTCGCCCTATTTAAAAGTAGGATGAGGCTATTCGTCGGTACGGTACCGACGGATAAATGGCTATTCGTCGGTACCGTACCGATGAATAAATGGCTATTCGTCGGTACCGTACCGATGAATAAAGNCGTACTAAAATCAAAGTACGGTACCGACGAATAGCTATTTATTCATCGGTACGGTACTGTCGAACAGCTATTTATTCATCGGTACGGTACCGACGAATAGCCATTTATTCATCGGTACGGTACTGTCGAACAGCTATTTATTCATCGGTACGGTACCGACGAATAGCCATTTATTCATCGGTACGGTACCGACGAATAGCCATTTATCCGTCGGTACCGTACCGACGAATAGCCACTTCGTTAAAAGTATACGGATTCAAATTGGCCTCCACGAAAAATTTACTTCCTTGTACGTAAGTCCCTTATCCCACAAGTAGTCACATTGATTTATCCATTCACTTACGATGGCGTGTTGACGATTCTATCGATTTTCTCTGAGAATTCCTCGGTAGTAAGGCTGTTCACGTCAGCACCTAAGCCAACTCCCATATGTTCATAGTAGGCTACATTGTGGCGTTGATCTGCGAACACCGGGAGGCCAAGAACTGGAACGCCAATGCTCATGGCCTCGACCAGGCTATTGTATCCTCCGTGAGTGATGAACAGTTTACAGTTGGGGTGGGCTAAAATGTGGAAAAAGAATATTGCTTATCAAACGGGAGCAAATGCAATTTAAAACTGGAAAAATTCTCAACGTCATGTAGTAATGATATTTCCAATTTGTATTCCCCGTGTATAGAATATTCTGTGAACATTTTTGAAAGAGAACGGTTGATTCGTCCTCTATTGCACTGAAAAAAAAAAAAATCTCGGTGTATTTACTAAGAAAAGGGTAAAAGTACCAAGAACTCAGGGTTCTATTTGATCCCAGTTTTTTCCTGGTAAAATTACCATTTATGGAATTGGTAATTTTAACCAGAAATCCCGGTAAAATTATTGACTTTCTCGGTAATTTTACTGGGCCCCGGTAAAAACGCCAATATTTTTTATCGATTGTGGTAGAATTACCGAGATAAAATGGCAAAGTTACCGGGAATTGATTACCAATAAAAGTGGTACTCTTACCTGAGAAAAACAGTAAAAATACCGGTTTTTAGGTAAGCTTACCAGTCTGTCTTGGTAAAATTACCAATAATTGGTAAAAAAAGTGAGATGGTAACGGTACCAACGGACCTTGGTAAAAACGCCGAGAATTTTTTTTCAGTGTGCATGAATACTATAGATGCGAAGATTTATGAACACCTAAAACAAGATTTTTGACCCTACGGCATCCCAATCGATACGCAATTTGCGCTTCAAGAAGTGGATTTTACAAATTTTTGATGCGCGCAGTCTGATTTTTCAGTAATTTTAGTTAAAAAATGACAGATTTATAAGACTTGAGTTCACCCCACTTAATTTCGAGGTAAGATTTATGGACAACTCGAGACCCAGATCCTCAAATAGATAACTATCGCTGCAAGAAGGATTTCTTTGGCCTATCGTAAGAATTGAAGGCGAAATAGCAGCATTATATTATTCTTCATACCCTTTTCATGTCTATACTGCTTCCTCTACATTTCTAACCAGAAAACACTAACGCTCTCATGGATGTATCTCATGGGTTTTATCCATTGAGCTCCCCGAAACATTTACCTCCGAACCCTAAAATCCTTTTTACCAAGTACCTATCTTAAATGAATATTCAAAGACACGCGGATACAAGATCTTACCGAGAATTTCATTTTGAGGTAACCAAGATTTGTGTAGGATATTCTTTGGAGATCCTTGAATTGGCTCTGAATGCTTCCAAATGACTCGATACTTGCTTTTCTTCATTGTTTCCTCGAAAACACGCCTTACATTCTCTTTAAACATTTTTGGTTCGATGTATGATCCGAGACTGAAGTAGATAACTCCCTCATAGGCTTCATCCATAAATCGTTTTATGTCCTGACAAATCATAGAAGAGGATCTTTGATCAAAGTAAATCGATTGTGAAAACTTAAAAAATGCGTATGTTGGTTTGCGATGTTGCAGAATTTCTTGTCATAAATTAATCTACATAGAAAACTACTAAATCTTATATTTTTAAAACTTAAGTGGTTTTTCCTCTGTATGTGAAGAATATTTCTTGAAAATTTCAAACAATGAAATTGGTTTGATCTTTTTTTCACAAAGTGAACTAGGAGTGAAGTGTCTGAAACAACGCAATCAAGATACCTATTTTTGTAGTTTAATCGTCGATATGTCCTATCATTGAAGCTTTTAGAGAAAATAGCTTCAATATTTTGGCCAGAGCACTGATGAATATGAAGCTAGAATAATGCTGGGCCCTTTAAAAATTTAAGAGAAAACATAACAAGGAGCAAAAAAACAACATTTAAGTTGAAGCCTAGCATTGAAACTTGTTTAAAGTCAGTATGAAACTGAAAATAAAGAGATCTGTTCAGAGCATTTTCAATGCAAATGCCTGAGCCAAGCAGCGGCCTATTATTAAATTTGATAGATTTAATAATAGACAAAGAAGAGAAAGAGAGAATGGAGAAATCATGCCGGTTAAAACGGGTAGTTCTTGTAGACTAATAATTCTGTATACTGTATTATTAGTCATAGATTGTCCATCCCAGTGTCATGGTGGACTCCCCCTCCCCAATTGATTAATATTAGCCATAGGCGTACCTAGGCCATTTTGCAAAAATTGCCAAAGTTGCCAAAATCGGATTGCCAGAGTTCATTTTTGTGTGAGTGTGATACAAGAATACGTCTCTCTGGAAATTTTGCTCCATTTGTGAAAAAACTAATTTCACTTTCTTTCTCTGAATGTCAGTTAGGTTTGACGTTTTCCGTACGAAAGAGAGGAACAGCTTCCAACTTGAAAAATATCCGCTGGTAAATTATACTTTCATCGAAATACCTATAGGATTGCAAAATCTCTACAATCCTGGAATCCTTGAATTGCAAGCTCTCGCTGTTCGGAAATGGTGGATACCGGGGTGGGTTCGACACTAAGAAAGAAGGACTTCTTAACGACTCGACCGCGCACCGTGGTATACGCGCAATGCATGAAGTATCCTGCAGACTTGTAAGGCGCTACTATGCGCCGTGCGAACCGTGCTGCACACGCAATGCATGGAGTATCCTTCGGTCTTGTAAGGCGTTACTATGCGTTTGCGCTGCGGCGTGCGCGCCAGCCGCAGTGCCATACTGGGTTTGACACGATTATTCTAACTTGTGGCGTCGGCAGTTTTCAACTTATTATTTTGAAGTTTTCGTACAATTTGGTGGAAGTATTTTCATTTCAAACGATAGAACATTACATAAAACCCAACTTATATTTTTCTCTTCATTTACATATTTTTATATATAATTTTAAACAGAAGAATGCAAGTGAAACGACTTTTACATGTATAGGCTTCCTCGTTCCTCAGCGATGTAATGGCGTGATCATTTGGAAATCTAATTTACTTAAGAGTATTTGTTCCAGTCACATTTTTTAAGGTTCAGACTCTGGGTCCACGAAACATTTCCTCTAGTGTTGTGAACCGTTTACACATTTTGTCACCTTCCGGCCAAAATATCATAATCGCCATGGAACGTTTAAACACATCCGCCGCCATTTCATTTTTTTTTTTTTTTCGGAGTTCCCCATTTTTTTTTTGGGGGGGGGGGGTTTACAGAGAAACCGTTCAACGTAGCTGTCCGAGAATTCCACTGAATTTTCTTTGAGCTGCCGATAAAATTCAGTGACATTTTTCAAAAGATTCAACCAACAATTTCTCCGTAAAAAAAAAATGGCGACGGAAATTTAAAGCGTCCCACGGCGCTTGTGATACTTTGGTCGGAAGGTGACGAGTTTATTTGAATCAGTGAAAACGAAAACACACGAACTCCGAAGAATGAAAATAATCAAGACACATACGAAACCGAACAGTAAATGAAGAAATTAGTCTAAGAAATAGATTTTTGGTGCCGAAATATAAGCACTTAAGGGCATTTTAAAGGTCCAAGTTGGAACAGATGCGCTAACTTCAATGATTTTTATAAAAATTGACCGTCTCTTATAAAAATTGAGCGATTTCGAGGTACCGACTTGGTGTGTTTTCGAACTCACTGATTCATTTTTGATAAAGGGCGATACAATTTCGGTTAAAACTCACCGCGGGCAACTGCTTAGCCGGTTTGATATTCATGCCGGCAACATCGACAACATTGAAGCTATACGGTCGCACGTACATCATCGGATGAGCATCAACGAGATGCAGCGATACATTCGCCACCAATTCCTCCAACGGGGGCAACATATTCGACCCGGGGTATTTGAACAACCGCCGCATGATGCTCTCTTGCCGCGGGAGATGCCATAGACTCCCGTGCATGACGTCAAACCACCCCACCATAGCGTTATGCGTCCTCTGGAAGAAGTTCATGCGATCCGTGTACGGTACCCGGAAATCGGGGACGCAGGAGAGGGGGTTCGGAGCCCCCATGAGGGATGCTACGTAGGCAGAGACGTAGAAGGGATGCAAGTTGATGACGGGGGCTCCGAATTTGTGGGCGAAAGCGAGGAGGGATTCCTGCATTGTTGTTGCTTGCATTATGATCAGGTCGTATTTTTCTTCGGATGCCATCAGGTCTTGCAGCTCTTTGCCTTTGAGGGCGGCTTCGGTCACGGCGGAGAAGGTGGACCATTCTTGGAGGGTGTATTGGACGGCTGACATCTGGCCCAGCTCGAGGAGGTCGATTTCTGTTCAAGAAAGAATATTCATTACCAAACTTGCTATTTCAGAAGTCTCGGCTCAAAATATTAATTCGAGTATCCTGCACAAAATTGGTTTCAAAATATTTTTACCGCACCCAATTCTGGAAAAAAACACATAACATTTGATCTAGAGTTCAGACTCTTAAAAACATCGACAAGAAAAAATACTCTTGATTCGATCAGATTTAAGCTTAAATCAAGAATCGAGCCTCTTAATTTGAGCGGATTTCCTTTTGATTTAAGCTAAAACCTGATTGAATCAAGAGTCCTTCTTCTTGTCAATGTTTTCGAGAGGACGCTAGATCCAATGTGTTTTTTTTTTTCAGTGAAACATGCAGTTTGAGTAATATTGAATAAACCTCAAATTCTTGTTATTTTGAATAACCTGCATTTGGGGGGAGGGGATGACGAGTTTTTGTGCTTTTTTTTGATTTTGCGCTTTCGAGGAGATCTTGCGAACGCTGGGTCATGCGGAGACCCTTAAGATTAAAAGCGGCGATTAGGGGTAGGACGGGTTCCTACCAGCTTCATTACCAATCTCGCCATTTTAGAAGTGTTGGTTCAACATATTCATTAAAAATACTACAAACAATCGGTTTCAAAATGAACTTACTGCGCGTTATATGTAGTTTGAGTGAAGTTGATGATAAATAAAGCAGATGATAAATTGAGCAGATGGAGCCTAACTTCTAATCATTTTTAATTATCTGCATATCTTTCTTTCTTCCTGAGTTCTGTGAAACCTATGATATCCAAGCCAATCAAAAATGAATTCTTCAGTGGTCATATTCTCCCCATGAATGAAACTCTCTATTAGGTACTATAAGACCATATGGATTACATTTTGCAATAAGGAACCACTATTTCCGCCTCATTTTAGAAACAACATATATGCCATTAATATCCTCATTCAGATACGTGCTTTTATGGAAAATCCAGAAATAGTGGTTCCTTATTGCAAAATGTAATCCATATGGCCATTCATAACTGCAGTTGTTAACTCTGATCGTTGAATCAATGAATAGAGACTCCAGCATGATGAAATCAATGATTACGATTAAGTTCCAGAAGCCAAAAATGAACAAATTGATGGTGAAACCAAAAGGCCACGTACCTTGGTTTCCGACGTTGCAGATTTCCTCTCATGTCTCATTTTCTGTTGGGTGACCATCCGAGTAATTCCGTAAACTTCCGTAGAATCTCTCCTTTTTCGAGAATACTCTCTAGAAATTTCATGCAAGAGTGTTAGTCACAATTCTCTGAAAAGATGTTGCTTGGGCAGAAATGTTCAAATCTCATAATTAGGATACGTGTCATTTTGGTTTCACCATCAATTAAATGGAAAACAGGACATTTTTCAGAAGATAATCTGTAATTTATGATATTTTTGCACGAATATTAGCTTATACTACTTTCACATTATTTTTTAATGATTAACTAAGAAAATGTAAATAGTCTTGATTGATTTAAGTAACTATCAATGTAGAAAACAACGCAAAACTGCTTATTATCATGATTAATTGAGAAAAGATAAAAGCGTTCCAGTAAAAGTATCATACCTAATTTTCTTGTATGATCTAAATTTTTGTGAGGACTGCTTAATTTTAAAATTGAGTCTAGATTTTCTTACGATGAGTTTCAATTTTAAGTACGAGATTAAATTTGATGTTTACCTCTACGCAATTCTTAAATTGGGAAAGGGTACATGACGACTATAAGCATGTATTTTATAAAACCTATACTGTTGCAATATTCTATTTAAGTTATGTTCCCATTGCAAAATAAAATCCTACCAAAGAGACACTTTTCATTATACAAAATTGTAAAGAAAAAAAAAATAAAGAAAAAAATGGTATACTTTCTTCGTGGTATTATGTATTATTAAAGTAATATGAATAAATTCCAGGAGATATTTTTTTAAAATGCTATTTGAGAATGCTATACCCTGTGGCTAAAATATTTGATGTATTCATTGTTTGCAATATTTCAGGTTATAAAGCCAAGACAAAACTTTTACAGAATTTGAATACTCTACCATCTAAATTTTTACATCAAGGAAGAAATAAATGTTTTACATAAATTTTACTAAGTAGACATTTTTTAAAAATGCTATTTGATACCCTGTGGCTAAAATATTTTATGTATTATTTTTTTTTTTGCAATATTTCAGGTTATAAAGCCAAGAGATTTTTTTTACAGAATTTGAATACTCTACCATCTAAATTTGGAGCACCAGGGCCAAGATGGACCACGATTTCTTTAAAATTCGGCGTGAGGTCTTTTCTTTTGAAGTGTTGTGATGTGTAAGCAGTGATCTCATGACCTCTGGAAGCAAGTTCATCAATGAGAGGTGTGAAAACTCGATAATGGCTCGAAAACGGCAGTGGAAACAAAAACAGAACTTTAGCCGAGAGTAATGTCTCGAACCCACTTATGAAAAGTATAATCCGTAGAAAGAATGCCGCCATTCTTCCTAATTAATTAAAGCTTTAACACAAACGAAACAAGATCCTCAGCGTCCATTAGAACATCACAATCAACACCAAGCAAGTATCACTTGAGATGACCGAGCTGATCCCGCATCAACATTTTACATGCATGATGAGTATTTCATAACAATACATGTTCAAAAATTCTCAAGCAAATTAACTGCTATTGAAATCGCATTTGGATCAGAAATAAAACGAGAAAAGTTTTAATTCAAGTAGCTTCTGTCAACATTATAAGAGTTTATGAAAATATAAATTAATCAAAACAAAACACGAAAAAACCGTCGGCAATGTTCATTCACACGCGGTGCTCAGTTTATGTGGACACGTCACAATCCCAACGAATCAGGTGACACTTGAGATGACCGGATGGCCGCATCTGAATTAAGATTCTATGTGCATGATTTAAAACACGAAAAAAAAATGAAGTAAATCAATCGGTGTTAAAATCGAAAAATGTAACCGAGACGCTAAAATAAAACGACCAAGTAAGAGAGCTTCGCAGGACTACCAATTTCGTCCACTTCCCGTTTTAACTGACGTCATCGAACTGAGGAGGCCTTGAACCCCGTGGGGTTCATATGCGTATAAGCACGGTAGACAAGGCATCTTATTAACGAGCCAATTTATTCTCGAGTCCTCAGCATCACCCACATAACAATTGAGCGTTTTTAAAGAGGGGGATCTGTTCGGTATGAAAGTTTCGGAACGCAAACCACATGGTGAAACTGCAATGGTGCGTATTTCTGCCGTGCAACGCAAAAACGCCGTAAACGCCATTTTAATTTATTTGGAAACAATGTATAATAACAGAAAAACTTGTATACCCTGGGAAAATGTTTTTACAGAATTCTTTCGTAAATACTATCAAGAACTTAACCTGAAAATTTGAGGTGCATGAGTAAAACAGTTTTCATTTTATAAAGTGTTCAGTTCCAAAAAACGCGGGGAAATCTTGATGGATTTACGGCGTTCTTGCTTAGTACGGCAGATTTAGGGACAAATGATTTTTCAGGAGCAGTGGCGGAACTAGCAACCCCCCCCTCCTTCTCATATCTAGTTGGCCCTTATCGAGACATGTGTGGTATATTTTGCCAGATAAGCGTTTAACTTATTTTTCACCTTTGAAATTTTGAGTACATCTATATTTGTACGTTAGAATAGCTCAAAATGCTCAAGAGTTGACGCAATTTTCAAGAAATTTCCGGGAGAAGTTCCCGAGTCTTAAAGCTTGGGAGCTCCCCTAAACCCCCGTTAGAAACAAGATAAGAAGGGCTTGGAGGTCAAGGCACATAAGTGCAGTTTCTGAAAAAAAAATGAGATATTAATGATTTCAAGTGAAATTAGTCTTGAAGTATATACTGTGAAATGTTCGCTCCCAAATTTCAATTTTTAAGCATGAAACAGTCAGTTTGAACTCTCTTTCTCCGCAATAAGGATTGAGATTCCATGTAATTTCGAAATTTCAAACACGTATTTCTGGAAATAGCAAAAACTGCACTTACATTTATTGAGCGCCTTGTCTGTCAAGCCCCTAATATATATAATCTCTGCTCGCATTACGATGTTAATTCAAAACATGTTCATTTTTACACGAAATTTGGCAACAATCAACAGCGGAAACCTAGTTCTTAAACTCCAGCCAAAGCATTTAGAAATCATCCGGAAACGCTGCCACCCCATTAGCGCCGGTGCAAACAATGCAAACTCAATTGCTACTTTTTTCACCAACTTTAACCCGCTTGCTATCCTTCAAAGTTCCAGAGAAAGTGCGATACGTTAATTAAGGTACTAGACTAAACCTTGCGATGTATACTTACGGCTATTTGCGGTTCCAAGTTTATCATACGTAGACAAATTTTTCAAAATTTTGAAAATAAGGATTTTTTTAAGGGCGTTACTACATTTTATCGAGCAGAGAATCAGGGAATGAAAAAGAAAAAGGTTAATTTTTTCTAAAGCTCTTAAAAACTTGGTGAAGAGTTCACCACTTGGTCTAAACACTATTTACTACATTTTGTAATATAAGAAAAAATGAGGGGAAAATAGAGAAAGAAGAATCTTCCACATCAATTTTATATAAGTTCAGCATTTAGATAGCTCTTATGCGATTCCAAACTTAATAATTTCAAGACTTAAAATATCCAAAAATAGGTTTGGTTCAATTGCTTTGAACCACTGATACTTATGCTCATAGGATTTTTTTTTAAAAAAATTTACCGGGAAAATATTCCCAATATTTCCAGAAGTACGACTTGGTACGTTCCTGTCAAACTCGGCCACTATGTTAGCAACCGATATGCCACAGCATGTGATACAACTATTTCAACCTCAAAGTAGCAGAAATTGCGTAGGCACTAAATGGAAGGCGAACTCAGTTGCTTACTCCTATTTTCTTATCCGGTTTTGCTGCTACCCTCGTGAAAAGCCGCCGCCTGGGCACTAATTATTAAAAGTGACAGATAAAGCAATAGACTACGGAGACAAAGGGAAACTTGAGCGATCCTATTGGTGGAAGCGAGTGGTTGTGAAGAAATAGAGGAATGACAAGCAAACTAATAGGTCTCTCGTGGTTTTTCACGAGTTTCTTAGTTACCCTCCTTGCCATTGCAACCACCCGCTTCCACCGATAGGATCTCAATCCAAGAAGAATAAGAGAGAGAGAGAAAAAAAAAATCATGAGAAACCGGCTAACAACATATTAAAGGTCTCAGGTTTTTTCTTCGATTATTTTTCTTAAATTTTCAATGTATTCTCCCACGGAAAATGACTTAGTTTTGAGTCCAAACGTCTCAAGTTCTAGTGTTGTATTTGTAGCCTTGTTTTGTTTCCCTTTTTTTTTTTTTTTTTTTTTTTTTTTTTTTTTTTTTTTTTTTTTTTTTTGTCGTTTTTTTAACATGTCGGTTAGGCGCAACTGCTTTTTAGCCATCGAAAAACTATCCCTTTCGTCTATCAATTTCAATAATCACCCCCGTGTTTCATCTCAAATTCATTTTCAAACAGGTGAGAAACGGAAACCCCAAAGTCCAACGCCCGTTCCGCGAAGGAACCTTTCAAATGGTGATTTAATCTGCGGGTGCAACGACGAGGAAAGCTGAGTCCTCAGATAAGCAACTGAGATGGCTCCCGGGCGAGAGAAAGAAATCCCCGAGGGTGGGAGCTCGCAGGGGCAGTTGAGCGGCTAATTCAGGTGTCTGCGGACCTCCGCTCGGGGTCCCGGACTCGGGTTCGGGGGTAAAAAAGAGGCTCGACGCTAAGTAAGACGGGGGTTAAGGGAAACTGCGGACGACATGAGCGAGGCAAGATGCTGTCACCCGGTCTCCCCCTCCCCCTCCGCACCCCGAGAAATCGTTGCCCGTCGGACGGAACGGCGTATCTCAATCTCCATTTGAGTCCTGTTTCACGTATACACCCATGCTTTTCGGGGCTCGTGTGGGAATGGGGTTGCGCCCTTCTGTCGGAGGAGAGACGAAATGTCAGGTTAGCTGATAAGATGTTTAATCTTCTCAATCACGCGGAGGTCCCGACCGGCGGGACGGCGGGGAGGCGTCCCTTTCCGCCGTGAAATCGACCCCCTCTCAGCCTTCCGCGCGATTGGGCCGCTGCTGCGAAATTTGGGCGGAAATAATCGGATTTTGGATTTCCTTTGCGGAGGAAAAGGATATTTCAGGGCATTTCGAGCCATTTCGAGGGTATTTCGAGCCATTGCGAGGGCATTTCGAGCCATATCGAGGGCATTCGAGCCTAATCAAGGGTATTTCGTTAGTTTTACCGAATTGTCTGTCAACTGAGAAATTTAATCCAGGAAATTTTTATAAAATTACGTTGGCTTGTTCTTTAAAGGAAAGACAAAGAACGACAGAAGTCCGCAACGTGGCCAATGGAAATACGTGGTTTTTAGGGCATTTCGAGCCATTTCGAGGGCATTTTGAGCCATATCGAGGGCATTTCGAGTCATATCGAGGGCGTTCGAGCCTAATCAAGGGTATTTCGTTAAAGTTTTATCGAATGATATCTTGATAATCTTTTAACTGAGAAAATAAAGCTAGGAAGTTTTCTAAAATTACGTTGGCTTGTTTTTTAAATGGAGAAACAAAGAACGACAGGAAGTCCACACCGCGGCCAACGGAAACGTCGTTGCGGACTTTGATCATCAAATTTGACAACGATGACCAAAGAAAAACCACGTATATTCAATTATTCATTAATACTTTAAAACATAAATTCATTATGAAGTTGTTAATAAAAAAAAGAAAAAAAACAATGGTAAAATATTGGTGTACATTTATTTCGGTCTAAAATTCAGATTTTAGTCAAATGCATAAAATAAAACATTTAACGATGAAAATTCTCATGTTTCAATTTTTTTCCCTCCTTTCTTATTTTTTCGAAGACCAACAAGCCAATCTAGTAGCTTTAATTTCTTATAGAATTTTCTGCTAATCGAGAAAAAAAATCGAGAACGTTCTCAAATACTTACGTTGGCCTGTGCTTCAAAGAAAAACTAAGGTATAACAGCAAATCTGCAACGTTGTAAACGGATATACGTGATTGTGTACCTTCACCATCGATAACTCCACAATGGGAAATGCTATCTTCCTAATATTATTGCGTAAAAGTTACTTTCGAGGTCAGCGCTAAGATTCGCTGAATGAGGACCCAAGGTCAAAGAGTTACACAGTAAAAAAATGATGCGGTTTTCGCTGCAAATTTCACGGAATTTCCTGCATTGTACGCAGTAAATTATTTCACGAGTAGACCGTGCTACGCAGAAAGGAACTAAGTCACATCAGCTCTTGCCGAATGTAACTGGAAAATTTAATTTTTCACATGAAAACGGTCGTGCGGATTTTTGTGCACATTTCAGTGAATTCCCTGTTTAGTGCGAAGCAAATTCCTTAAAATATTTGAAGACATCCAAATAAACGTCCTTTCGTAAAAACTTAAATTGTCCAGTTAAATCTAGCATTAGGCGGTGTGGCTAGGTTCTTTTCTCCTAAACGCTGTCAAATTTCTTTCCTTTTTGTCTTTTCCTCTGTCTCTCCTCTTTTCACCACTTTCTGTCTGTTAGCACCCCTAATAATTACTTTTCGCCTCCTTTTCAAAGTGAGGAAGCTTCCAAAAAAGCCATAAGCCAAAGCTTCCGCGCGCAGCGTCACAATCGAGCATCGGATTGGGAGAGAGAAGGACCGACCATTTTGTGATTCATTCGATATTTTCCTGAGGTAAAGGGAAGAGCTCTGAAACTGGTCCCTTCTTCGATTTTCCTCGTGTTTCAATTTGTTTGTCTATTTTTGCTGAGTCTCGCCTTGCAGTGAAATCTTGCTTCATGTGATTTTTAAAGCCAAGTAATCCAAAGTAAGCCAAAGTAATAAACCTTGAATTTATCCAATTCGCGCTTCTCATTTTTCGCTCACCTACCGTTCTCACTTACCGAGAAACCAACCTACCTAACACTGTCCTTCTTCCATCCTCCTCCTCTTCCTCTTTCCTTTCTTCTTCCTCATCCCCTCCTGTGTGACGTCATCTCCAGAGACTGTAAACCCGACATCGTCGCGTTGCGATATACGGTCGTGGCAGCGCGGCCATCGAGCGACTGAGGAGAGGGGAAGAGAGAGAAGA